TACATGTCAACTAATTCTCATTAATTTGCAACTACATACATGTCTACTCTCAGAGTAGACCGTTAGGTTAGGTTTAGGGTTAGTAGAATAAGTTGACATATACTTGCAAAGTTTCTCGTAGTCAGTATGTTGTATGTTGTGGACCCATCAAAATAAAGTGTTAGAAGATATTAAGCAGACAGTCTACTAATACTCTATGACTGCTAATTGACATGTAGTTACTTACTGTTAGTAGAATGTCTAAAGTGGACTATGAAAATAAAGTGTTACCCGATTATTAATTAAAATGATCACAATTTACATTGAATTATGTTTATACCATTGTTTAAAGGGGTCATATGATGCGATTTCAATTTTTCCTTTCTCTTTGGAGTGTTACAAGCTCTTGGTGCATAAAGAAGATATGTAAAGTTGCAAAGACTAAAGTCTCAAATCCAAAGAGATATTCTTTATAAAAGTTAAGAGTCAGCCACGCCTACCTAAAACGGCTCGTTCTAACACACCCCACATGTCTACGTCACGATGTGAGAAGATTTGCATAACGCCGCCCAAAGGTTCAGCGTTTCAGAAGGCGGGGCATACAGGAGAAACAATAATGTACAGTATGTGGAAAATAATGTGTTTTTTTAACTTTAAACCGCATAAACACATTTCATTACACCAAATACACAAAATAATGTTCTTTTTAGCAGCATCATATGACCCCTTTAAAGCAACCGCGTGCCATATTTTTAGATGAAAATAAACAAGCTGAAAACACTCTAACTGAAAAAAACTTGTATTGCTTTTTTTTATAGTACTAAGCCTCAAATGTTAACTATACATTGGATTGGTTTCTTCTTTAAATAAAAAAGTAAAAAAAAAAAAAAATGCATGGTATTAAAATGTTATACTAAAACTAAAATTGAAACAATGGAAAAACCCTTAAGATAACCTGAAGAGAGCAAAAACATCGTACTGTAAGCACGCAGAATAACATAAGTGGACTTTAAGCAATTAATTGCCGCTTTGAACAATTACATAATTGTGGCATCCATAATTGTAATCGCGATTAGAAATTCGACTGAATGCGCAGCCCTAATTTAATTAATTATTGGCTTTTTATCAACTCACAAACCAACTGCAGTTCTTACATTAAGCCCAGTTTGGGAAATTTAATTTTTATCATATAATCTGTAATCAGTAATGGACTACAAATTGTAAGTAATCTAGCCAGCTTTGCATGTATTGACTCATATGTTAAATGGCCATAACAAATGGGCGTCCACTTTACCTGTATTCACACCATAATATAACGTGATGGTCCTCAATGCAAACGGATTTGAATCAATTTCTCAAGTTTTTAACATGATCACATCTGTCAAATAAAAAAGCAAAAACAGCCTTTGTGTTATTCCCCTTTTTTTTGTTCTGTTAAACCACTTTGTCAGCAGTGTGTGTATCAGGATAAACTACACATCAGAGAGTTTCACGGATGACAAAGTATTACAAACACAACTAAAGCACATCACCAGTTAATCATCATCAGTGAGAGTAATAATGAACCACATTATAACTTTACCACAAGTAAAATATAACACATCTTTTGACAGTCAGCATTGCCATCCTTTATATCCAATATAATATAATATGATATAATAATAACATATGATAACCCCCAGAAACTTTTTCCTCTCTTTGATGGTATGTTAGTAAGTAGGTATAGATAGATAGATAGATAGATAGATAGACAGACAGACAGACAGACAGACAGATATAGATAGACAGACAGACAGAGAGACAGACAGACAGACATAGATCGATAGATAGATAGATAGATAGATAGATAGATAGATAGATAGAGACAGACAGACAGACAGACAGACAGACATAGATCGATAGATAGATAGATAGAGACAGACAGACAGACAGACAGACAGACAGACAGATAGATAGATAGATAGATAGATAGAGATAGATATAGACAGACAGACAGACAGACAGATATAGATAGATAGATAGATAGATAGATAGATAGATAGATAAATAGACAGACAGACAG